ATTTGCAGGGTTGCCACTCTTATTTAGGAACAAAATTCCCTGATTTTCCCTGATTTTTTTTGCCAAAAATTTGCTTTTTTCTCCCTGATTTTCCCTGATTTTTTGCTAAAATATTTCGTTTTTTCCCCTGATTTTTCCTCTTGAAATTTGCTTAATATTTTCAGCATTTAAATGCCCAAACTTAGCATTAAAACTTCCCTAATAACCCCAGAGCATTTTTACCTCTAAAAAAACAGATACTATAATCCCCCAATAAGTAATTAACCAATCAATTTGCTTAAAATTAAAATAAATAATCAAATACTTCAATCAACATATGAAATTTTTCTTCGAACCAGGGTATATTTAAAATGGATATGTTCAACAGGCATTGAAAACCTGTCAGACTTATCTAGGATACAAGATAGCGAAATTCAAAAAAATGAAATGAATGTAATAAATTTCTAACTGTATGTTTTACATACATCGTTTAATACTTTTTTCTTCCCAATATTCCCTGATCTAAAAGCATTATCACGCTACTTTCTTTTGCTTGGAGTATTCTATTTTCCTCCAAATAGTTTTTATATTGTAATGAGGCACTACAAACAGCATTTATCATTTCATTGTTTATTTCTATTTTGTGAGCCTTTAATTTGTTTGACACCATAAAATCTTTGATAGTGCGACAAGATATAAGTGACAGTCCTTTCATTTTTTCACTGAGTATATTACTGGTAATACTGAAACCTCTCTCAACTGATGCTTGCCCATGACATAAAAATAAATATCAAAACTTTTGACAAAACCTTATAATCTACACCAACTTTATTCGTTTCAAAATAAAAGTAGATGAACTTTCCTCTAACAACTTTAAAAATTGTATGAAAGCTTGATCAAATTTATTTGTAGTAATATGTGAGCAAGAAAGAACTAGATGTAGTACAGATTTCATCTGATGAAGAAGATCAGCTTTTTGTTTAAAAGATTCAACACTGGATTGATGCAAGTAGTTGCTTCCAGAAAAGAAAATTGATTCAAACTTCTTTCTATTATTTTTTCCTGAATTCTAAAGATAATGAGACAGCAATCTTTTATGAATCTATGATGACATCCTGAGATAATGCATCCTTTTTCCTCAATTCGATAATGTCATGTTCTGCAGCAAATCCTATTATCATTAATTTTAATAGCAGAAAGTTTTCCTTTTTTGTAAAATCATATTATTGAAGTTTCCTGCCATTAATGATGTAAAGGACATCTTGTTTTATAATTAAACCCATTAAACTTTTAACAGTTGAGAACAAATCTTCAAAAAGAAAGGGAATCATTTGGGCATTGGTTTGATATCTGAGTAGGATTTTCTGCAAAAAAACTGTAACCAAAAAACTTCAATTTAGTCAGAATTAACTTATCTTTTGTTCCCTCGAACCAGAGTTGTTAGTCCTTGACCTGAAAATTTTGGTCTTGGCATTGGTTGTTTTGGCCTTAACCATAAACTCTTGGCCTGGCCCTTGTAGCTTTTAGCCTTGATCTTGGCCTTGGACTTATAATGAGTGGCCTTGGCCTTGGTCTTGATAATTTTGGCCTTGTTAACAACTCTGCCCCAAACACTTGTCATAGCTCTTTCATTTTGGTTACTTACTTTTAGAAAGAGTCTCCCAATACTTGGTTATTTTTTTTAACATTCTCCCAAAATAAACAAAGTCTATCTGCAACTTTTTGGTCTACAACCCAGCGTGTAGAGCAAAATGCACAAGAAAAACTCTCACATTTAGTAACAGTTACATAATCAGCTCTTCTAGCTGAAGAATCATAAAAAAGGTTGTATGATGCTTTCATTAACTTCTTTATATTCCATTCAGCAGATTGAAAACCCAATTTGAAACCATGTATTAGATGAAGGTTACAGCTTCCAACGTTAAGAAGTTTAGGTAGCTCTTGTTAATCATGCTGCAATTCAAGAAGATTAAGAAGGGAACAGTTCACATTTGTACCTTCCATACTTAGTTGAGTCATACTTTTAAGTAAATTCTGTGCTGTGGGGTAATCTAAAAATTTAGAGTCAAAGTATCTGGGTTCAACACGATTTAAATTGCTGCTCTAAAACTGAATATTTAGATCCAATTGGACATTTTTGCCTATTATCAGCTATTTTTCAAACAAATGATCAATTAACCATTTTTCTTTGAATTATGTGGCAAACATTAAATTAATGTAAACACAATATGATTAATTTTCTTTAAAAATGTTAAACATTAACCCTGGTACCCTTAAAAAGGAAGATTTTTATTAGAAAAAATTTAAAAACATTAAAGAAAAAGTAAAAAGTTCCCTGATTTTCCCTGATTTATTCCTAAATCAATCATTTCCCCCTGATTTTCCCTGATTGTATCTAAATTTCCCTGATTTTCCCTGAATTCCCTGATTTCCCTGATTTGGTGGCAACCCTGATTTGTTTACTTGTATAAAAAAAAAGTGGAAATCTGCAAACTATACTGTTAAAAATTTTGCAAAGAAGTTTGTGAATTGGCTTAATGAATATTTAATTGTCAGAAAAAAGAAAAAAAAAAACCAACTGCAAGTAGATGTGGTCGAAAACCAAAAAGCATTCGATAGTTCTAATAAAACTAAAAAACAGTGTTTATCTTGCTTAATTCATCTAATGAATTATTTTTTGCTGCTAATAAAAAATTTAGAGATGATTTAGTAAGATTTCTTTGAAAATAGCTCTGCTTTATTCTGGGGAAAAGTAAAATGATCAGACCCATGAATTAAAAATTAAACGTTAGACTTACTTTAGTTAATGACACTGTTGAAAACTAACTAAAAGTCTCTAGAACCTAACATCTGAGATATGAAACAAGATTTAGTAAACTGAGAATAGCAGAGATTTATATCAGACAGGACTTATACATTAGCTTATTTCAATAATAAAAAAGACAGAAGCAATAAAAGCTTCCAAGATGCACTTTTTGCACACATATTATGGATATAAACATATCTGTTTGATATTTATTTAGATGCTGGTATACAATACACTTTAATTGTTATATAAACTTTAGTACTTATATGGTGTAGTATTTGCCGAAAGAGAAGATCATCAGATGAATATGTGGTATGGCTCTAGCCAGACAAGAAAAGGAGCAAAATCTTTGACAGATTAGAAAAAACGTGGTATCAAACAACGTTTGGTAGAAAAGGTTAAAGTAATTTAGGTATCAACTTGTAGAGTGGTAGCAGCTTCAATAGAAAATGGTTGTAGTAGAAATAAGAAAATTTGAAGAGAGTGCCTTACATATTGTATGAATGAGCTTTAGTTAGGATAGCCCCTGCTATATTTTATCAAACCCGGCCCCGGCCCCGGCTCTGGCAAATATAACCTTGGTCATTTACTAATACAATTCAAGGCATAAAAAGGGTTGTTCTTCAATAAAGAATGAATCTGTTTTCATAAATTGGTTTACTTTTGTTGTAAACCTGTACTTATGCTTTTCCACAACCTCCTAGACCATAAATATACTTGCAGGGAAGCTTATTTGTATTTGGATTCATAAATGCAGGTTTCAAAACAAATACTTAACCACTATTCAAAGATGGACACATATCTATGTATCATTGTTGGTCTTCATCAACACCATCAATGCCACCGGTTTCTTAAAGAACAATATCTTTCAATTCTGATAATCAAAACAATTCATATTTCTGGTAATGAAGTAGTTTATTTATTTTATGTAATGTTTTTTTCTGCACAGATCAAACATCAATCAACCTTTTTAAAAAACTTTTTATGCTTTTGTTAAAGAACAACAGGATCTTGAAACTAAATAGAATATTTTTTTATATACCACAAAACTGTTTCATTCAATATGCATTTCACTTCGATATGCATATGCACTTTAAGTGTTAAAAAATCTTTAAAGCTTTGAATTCCAACATAATTTAATATCTTTCGCAATAATAAGCCTTTATTTGGCTTAAATTGACCTTATACATTTTTTAAATGACTTTTTATATATTTTTCTATCATATTTTCTGGCATTTACTTCTTTTCCTTCTGTAAAAATAATACTATTTGCTTGGCTCATGAATACCTTCATGCATATGGAATCTAAAGAATTACCAAACTATTTCTTGAGCAATAATGAATCTTGCACATGTTGATCAATTTTTTCTTTTTCATTCATATTGCATAAATTTACTACTTACATACTTACAAAAATACTTAAATGCTTGGCAATTAAAACAAAACAAATTTGTTGAGTTTTTAGTTAAAATATGTTGTTTTGACAGACACAAAACTGTTCTGTTTACCTTTAAGTCTTTTTGCTACAGTAATTTTTAATTAATAATATTCAAATACAAAATAATATTCAAATACAAAATTAATAATCTGGTCATCGGTTTTTCTTGCATGATTTTTGATGCATTGATTTTTTTTTCTCAGAAGAGATTTAATAGACTGAAGAAATTTTCTTTTTTGAAGAGATTTAATAGACTGAAGAAATTTTCTTTTTCGAAGAGTTTTAATAGATTGAAAGTCTTTTCACTCCCAAGTTATTTAAGAAAAAAAAATCAACAATGGTTCAAACAAGATAAATTTTGTTTGTTCCTTTTAGCAGCAATAGTATTTTTAAATAGCATTTGGAACAATATTGGATTTAATAAACTTTTTTTAATTTCTTTTTTAATCTAAGAACTATTTCTCTTATCTTGGAATTGTTTTAACCTGGAGTTCTGATGCAAAATATTTGCTTGGGACAAATATAAGAAAAATACAACCCGTTCAAGCACAAAAACATGGATGTTAAACTGATAATGATGATGGATTCCAAACCCTTAGTCCTTTAAAAATGATAGATTCCTTTTGTTCAATATCAAAAATATTGATGGTTAACATAAAACATTTTAAACAATCTATGTACTTCTTTACAAAATAAATTAAACATTTTAAACATTTTATGTACTTTATTATGTACTTTCTTCCAAAATAAATAACAAAATATAAATACAAAACTTACCAGAACTTCTTGAAACTTTTTTAAAATTGCTTGATTTAAATTCATTATAGAGCATTTGTAGTTTGTTTATTACAAAAAACTGATTTTTATCAGGTTTAAGAATGCCTTTCTCCAACAGGATACCATACTGTTTAATTGGGCTAAAAACACAAGATTCATATCGCTTGCAGACAAAAAATATTTTAAGTGGGCTAACTCTTAAATTAAATGCTTTTTTCATCTAGAAAGAAAAAAAATGTAAATAAGCATCTTTAACATCTTTAATAAAAATAGTTTCAGTCAGTTTTTGTTTTTTTTGATGTCATAAATGTCTTTTGAGTTCAATAGTGACAATTCATGTGTAGCTAATATAGTTGTATATATATATATATATATATATATATATATATATATATATATATATATATATATATATATATATATATATATATATATATATATATATATTATTATTATTATTATTATTATTATTATTATTATTATTATTATTATTATTATTATTATTATTATTATTATTATTACAATTATTTTTGCTATTATTATTATTATTATTATTATTATTATTATTATTATTATTATTATTATTATTATATGTACTTTAACAGCAAAATTAAAAATGCAAATAAAATTGCGAACAATAATAAATCAAACTTATATTAATATTAAAATAAAATTAAACTAAAGTTGTTTTTCTCACTTTCATCAAGTATTTTGAAAATATTGACATTAACAACTTCATTGGTTAGTCTGTTCCATTCATTTATAACCCTATTTGTAAAGACATGTGCTCTTTTTTCTGAAATTATATTTTGCGATTTTTTTTTTGTGCAAATTGATTACAACCTCTTATTTTCAGATAACAAATTTTTTTTTGATGGGTCTTCAATTTTCTTTATGATTATCACTTTTTATTTTATAAAAATTTATTAAATCCCAGTCTATCTTTTCATTTTTCAAATTTTGTTTCATTTTTCAAATTCAAAATTCAAGTTCTTTTATTCACTCTTCATAACACATACTTTACATTTAATTCTTGTTACTTTTTGTTGTACTTGTTCTATTTTATTGATGTCCTTTTTGTAACAAGTATTAAAAAATAGTAAAGCAAATAACAATACAAACAACACTGCAGCCTCATTAAATTTTTATCTAAGCATTTAAAGCAATGCTTTGTTTGACCTAATATTCTTTTTGTTTTTCCTGCAATCATATTTACATAGTTTTGACATTTTATATATATTTTTTATTGTCAGCATACAATTTGCAACAGTTTTTTATTACTTGTGATATATCAGAAATATATATAACAAAGAGCGGCCCTAACACTGAGCTTTGTGGCTTCATCGTTAAGTTCTATTACTTAAATATGCTTTTAACCTTTATTTTCACAATAAGCTTTTAGTTTTATTAACAATCTTTTGTCTATCTATAGAAAAATTACATTCCAAAGACTGAATATTAACCTGAAGACTCTAATAAATTTGCACAACAGTTTTTACTTTATATAAAAAAATGCTGAGAACCTAAAATTAATTTATTTTCAATGAGTTGTTCCATCAAAGCATGAGTTATTCCAGCAAAAAAACCACATTCCAAATACTGCGTAATTATATCTAAAGACTCTAATAAATTTAAACATTTCTATTTCAAATGAAACTATGCTGAGAATCTGATATTTTATTTTCATTTAAACAATTTCATTTAAACATTTCTATTTCAAATGAAACTAAGCTGAGAATCTGATATTTTATTTTTAATGAGTTCAAATCTAACAAAACATCATATACTCTTCATTACATTGCATACAACATTAATGAAACAATGCTGGGAATCTGATATTTTATTTTCAATGAGTTCAAATCTAAAAAAACATATTATACTCTTCATTACATTGCATACAACGTTAATGAAACAGGACAATAGCTTGTTGCTTTAAGTTTGTCTCTTTTTTGAATAAAGGAATAATATTAGCACATAATCACACTTCCAGAATTATGCCACTTGAGTACATAAAAACGTTCCATCAAAACTTTTGGGTGCACTTTATTCTCTCCATTAGACTTATTAACATTTAATTTTTTTAACTTTTTAATAATGTTGTCAATATTTATTGCTGTATTTGCAACTGGTTTACCAATTTAATAATAAAAATTGGTATTTTGTTGTTTTCTTTGAAAAACTGAATGAAAGAAGTTATTTAGTATATTATCTGATTCATTTATTTATATTGATTCATCTTTTATTTCAAGTGTGCATTTCTTCTCATTGATTTTGGTTTAACAGTTTATTTATTGGTATATCATTTTAGGATTATTTTTATGATTTTTTAAATATTTCATACTCATAGCCTTTTAATTTTTTTTTTTTTTTTTTTTTTTTTTTTTTTTTTTTTTTTTTTGGTATTCTTTTAATAGTTTATGGTCTTAAAATTCCTGTTTGTAAAGAGTAAGTAGGCCTTCCAATTGAATACTAAAAAAAAATCAAGTTTACTATAATATTTCTATTTGAAAAAAGCCTTACACTCTATAATTTATTATTTGTTTACGTAAAAAAAAAAAAAAACTAAAATCTCTGTCAAACAATAATCGTTGAAATTCAATCAGAGTGCTTTTTATTTGATAGCAACAAAACTCAATTTGTTTGATATGCGTGTTATTACCTCTACATAATATATCTAAAAATTTGCAAAATAATGAGCACTTTTTTTTTTTTCGAATATTATAAGTTAACAGTATGTGCATCTTTACTAATTATGCTAAATCGATGTGTTTTTTTTTGTGTGTTTTTTTGCAGTAAATTATAATACCTATCAGTCGTCATGGGGCACCGGTAATCTCTCGGTCGAGACTATTTTGATGTCCCCGATAAACTTTGCTACGGAAATAACAAATTTCCAAACGGGTCTTGTTTTGAAGCCCGAGGGGTAATCACCTTAATTTTTGACCAAAACATCCTTATTTGTCATAAGATTTGCTATAACTCGATAAATTTAGGAGAAACATCGCATAAACTCAATAAACTTAGGAGAAATGTTGTTAACTAATTTTTATTATATTCAGAAACATTTTAATGTTTTCAAATAAAATAAAAACTATTGTTTCAATGTCATTTCTTGTTGTACTGATAATTTATTTAATTTGTAATAACCAGAGCTCATAGTGGGGCGGGATGCAGAGTTGTTAACAAGGCCAAAAGAAGTAAGGCCACACGTTACATGGCCAAAGCCAAGACCAAGACCAAAAGTTATAAGGCCAAGAACAAGGCCAAGGACAAGAGTTTTAAGGTCAATGCCAAGATTAATAGAATCATGGCCAGACCTACGCAAACATTTTCAAGATCAAACACTTCAATTTTCGTCTTACGTTAAGGCCAATTATCAACAAAAGTGTAAGTAGCAAGTGCAGTGACAATGAAACCACATTTTGTAAAAATAGTTATGCGCAGAATTCAATAAAATCAATAAAAAAATATGTATTTTTTTAAGGCCAAGGCCAAAACAATCAAGGCCAAGGCCAAAATTTTCACGGCTAAGACCAAGGCCAAGGCCTCAATTTTTGGCTTTAATGCCAGGCCAAGGCCAAGGACTTACAACTCTGGCGGGATGTGGCGGGATGCCATCCCGTCACCTTTTTATAAAGTATAAATCACCCTGCCACCTTTTTATAAATCTCTCTATATAACAATGATTAAGCGGGGTGGTATTATTAATTTATAGATTAATAATGTAACTATCCAAAGTCAATTTTTTTTTAATGATCTACCCTCTACGTAAAAAAAAGTAACGGGGTGGTATTCGATAAATTTACCGAATACCACCCCGTTACTTTTTTTTCTCCACTTTTAGCACTTATAATAACATAAAACGCTGTTAAGCAATAGGGTAGATCATTAAAAAAAATTTGACTTTGGATAGTGATAATTTGTTGCTCCTGAATAATATAAAGTAGATTGGAAAAAAATATTTTGATTTTTTTATTGTCTTCCTTTGTCGCCAGGAGCCTTACGTTACCCAATTAGTATACTTTTATGCTTTTTATCGTTATTTAATTACTTCCTAATTTGGTTATAAGTTTTTTTGTCTTCATTTGTTGCTAAAAGACCTTATTTTACCATATTTGTGTATTTTTAGGCTTTTTTTTATTGTTATTAAATTGCTTAAGTAATTTTTGTTTATAGATTAGTAAATTTTATTTTAAATTGTGATAAATTGTTACCATTGGATGATATAACAAAAATAGAATAGTAATGAAGTTTTTTTGGCTTTATTTTTCCTTTGGGGGACTTACATTGTGCATTTTCAGACTTTCTATTGGTATTTAGGTGTTGGTATTTGATCATAATTTTTCAATGTTTTCCGGAAAAAACTATGGCTGGATTTATAAACCACTTTCTAATTATTTAGTGATTCAAACTAGCGCTTTTTTAAATTATTATTCTTTTTACTTAAGGGATTTTGAGGTTTTTTCAATTTCTCAGTAATTTACTATTTATTACTTTATAAATTGTAGTGATTCTAACTAATACTTTTTAAAATTATTTTTATTTAGTAATATTAAAAAAGCTATAGAAAATTTTACTATTTATTAGTATATATAAAGATTGGTATTCTATTAGTATAGATCAAAAATTGATTAAAGATAGAGTAAAGATTTTTGTATTAATAATATTATAAAGATTACCAATATCCACATATATATCAAAGAAATAAATATTTGTATATGATTTATTGAATATAAATCTATTTCTAGAATTTTAGTTTTGCAAATTGAATAATACTAAGTTTATATTCAGAAAATAAAAAAATATTTTGATTTCTGTGGCAAACTATGGCTGTTACAAGACCACAGCTGACTTGTCCTGTTTGTGGCATTGAATGTGAACTTACTACTTGTTAGTACGCTGAATTGTATATACATATATATATATATATATATATATATATACTCATTTTTTTTCTTTTCTTGTAGAAGTCTTAAATATTTTTATGTATCAGACTTATATTATTATATATCACGACTTATATTATTATATATGTATCAGACTTATATTATTATATATCACGACTTATATTATTTTGTATCACGACTAACATTGTAAACTAAAAAAAAAAAAAAAAAAAAAAAAACTACTCGCAAACTTTCAGCAGTTAAGGAAGTTGTGCAGCACTATTCTTTTGTTAATTTATAACTTCCTAGGACTACCAAGTCAAGTACAATAGTTTTTAGAGT